ATAACTCTAAATTACTCTAAATTGTAACCCACCCAAAATTTACAACAATCAAACTTCATTCTTCTTCAATGTAGCATGAATTGAAACATCTTTTTGATAATTTTGACAACCTTTTCTTCACATCTTCATTGAAGTATATTGTATGATTGATGTCTCTTGGTTCATATCACAACTGCTCCTTGCAACTAATCGAACATGTTGTCGATCTGGGGTAAAGGATACTTGTTCTTAATTGTCACTTTGTTAAGCTCCTGGTAGTCCATGCATAAGCGCATAGGTCGTCCTTCTTCACAAACATCACTGGGGATCCCCAAGGGAACACACTTGGTAGTATAAAGCCTTTGTCCAATAGCTCTTGAAGCTGCAACTTTAGTTCTTTCAGTTCAACAGGGGTCATTCTGTACGGGGCTCTTGATATAGGGGTTGTTCCTAGCTTAAGTACAATTTTGAATTCCACCTCACGCTCCGGGGATAGGCTTGGGAGATCTTCTAGGAACATGTCAGTGAATTCTCTCACTACTGGCACTGAGTTAATGCTCGCCTGGATTCGCCCTAATTCCACCACATGAGCTAATATCCCCCAAGCACCATGGGATAACATCTTCCTTGCCTTTAATGTCGAGACTATTCTCGGGACCATTTCTACCCTGGTCCCCTTGAATTTGAAGCTTGGCTGACCAGGGGGTCTGAACACAACCTCCTTATTGAAGCAATCAATAGAAGCATGGTTTTTAGCTAACCACTTCATCCCTAAAATGACGTCAAAATTGGTCATATCTAAGACTATCAACGTCACATCCATTGTGTGGTTCGACACACACAACTGACAGTCCTTTACCCTCTCGAAGGCTTCCATACTTACCCCTACCGGGTACCCACCGACAACCCGTACCCTAGCGGTTCAACTTCTACTCTTGCGTGTATTACAAGGTTAGTAGAGATAAAAGAGTGGGTTGACCTAGAATCAAATAAGACCCATGTGTAGTGCCCAAGAATAGAGAGCGTACCTGTGACTGCCGTGTTGGAGTTTTCTGCCTCCTGGCGAGTGGTAGCATATATTCGACCCTGTTGCAGAACTGACCTCGGGTTTGAGGTCAGTTTGTTACCAGGGGCTCTATTTGTACTCATTGCTCTCTTATGGGTGCAATGAGCGACAACGTGGCCTTTTTGGTGACAGTTGAAACATATCCTATTCTTAAACCTGCACTGTCCTGGGTGACGTCTCCCATAGATTGTGCAACGTGGTCTGTCACGTGGCGTGTTCTGTGGGCGAGCCTTTGGTTGCCTATGCTCTTGGTTTAAATTTGTCTTGGCCTGGTGCTGAGGTACCTTTGAGGAGGTAGGTGACGTTTGTTCTCTCTTTCTCTTTTGGTCAACCGTCATGTTTAAGTGGGTTGGGGTGTCTTCTGTCGGATACTCCCTATCGTTGAGCGTCTCGGCAAGTCGAAGTGCTGTTGCATAATCAGGTGGAAGGTGAGTTGACACCGCTCCTCAGACATCAGGTCTCAAGCCCATAACAAAACATTATACTTTCATCTCTTCTATTGAGACCATTATTGGGGCGAAACGGGACAGGAGAGTGAACTCTCATTCATACTTCTCTACTGACTTGTTTCCTTGCTCTATGCTTAGGAATTCACGTTGCTTCTTATATCACACCACTAGTTTGAAGTATTTTTGGAGGAACGCTACTCTAAACTGCGTCCAGGTGATATCGTCTTCGTCTGTAGCAATCGACCGGGAGGCTAATTGCCACCACAATTTAGCATATTCGCATAACAGGTAAGTCTTGCAACTCAGTCTATGCTCCTCCAGACACTTCATGCACCGAAAAATTTCATTAATAGTCGACAACCATAATTCACCTACGACAGGGTCCTCGGATTTTCCCTCGAATACTTCGAGGTCCCAACGTTTGAAAGCTCAAAAAAACTTGCTTTCTTCTATTGCGTTGGCGGCCCCCAGTTGTGATGGGTCGCCTGCCTGACACTTTGCACTAAGGTCGGGATCAGTTGTGCCAATTGCCCATTTGTCTATGCCATGGATTGCATCAGTCCCATCATCGAGGTCATATTATGTATTTCCGGAGTATCAAGGTTTGCTCTCAGTAGATCAGATGGGGGAACTCCTATTCTCGAATTTGGGTTCGCATGTACTGACTGTTCTTGCCTTTACAGATGGGTTCTCCTGTACCCTTGTTGGCCCGCTTCAAGCATGTTTACCCCCCCCCCCCCCCCCCCC